CCACTGTTTTGGTGCTTGTTTAAGTCCATACAATGACTTAACTAATTTGTACCCCTTATCTTCTTGTCCTCCCAAAACAAACCCTTCGGGTTGTTTCATGTACACTTCTTCCTCTAGATCTCCATAAAGGAATGCCGTTTTGACATCCATTTGATGAATCACTAGATTATATACCGAAGCCATTGCAATCAATAACCTTATGGAGGTAATTCTTGCAACTGGTGCATAGGTATCGAAATAATCAACACCATGCTTTTGCCTAAAGCCTTGGATAACCAATCTGGCTTTAAATTTCACTATGGAGCCATCCGATCTCTTTTTCCTAGTGAAAATCCACTTGCAACCAAGAGGTTTGCAACCGGGAGGTAAATCCTCTATAACCCAAGTATTATTTCCCATGATGGAATCCATCTCATCATTTATAGCTTCTTTCCAAAATGCACTATCTTGACTAGATATTGCCTCGCTATAAGTCTTTGGGTCACTATCCACATTGAAACAATATGGAGTAGTAGAACTAAGGACATCTCTAGATCCTTCAACCAAATAAATTATGAAGTCATTTAGAGGATTCCTAATTTTCCTTTCCCTAGTACTTCTCCTCACTTGAGGAGTTTCAACATTCTCATTATCGAATGTACTTTCATGAGTTTCAAGTTGATCATTCAACTCTACTATCTCCCTATCATTGGCACTGATTTGTAGATCTTTTGGTCTACTCATTGATGAAAATCGATTTTCATCAAAAATTGCATCTCTTGACTCAATAACCGAATGAATCGATATATAGTCATTTTGTTCTATTACATAGAACCTATAGGTTTTTCTATGCTCAGCATAACCTATAATGCAATCCAAGCCCCTTTCACCAAGCTTTCTTTTCTTGTTGCCAGGCACTCTTACGATTGCCCTACAACCCAAAACCTTGAGATACTTCAAGTTTGGTTTTCTTTTGTACCAAAGTTCATAAGGAGTAGATTCTTTTCCCTTAGTGGGAACCGGGTTAAGAAAGTGACATGCTGTCAACATTGCTTCACCCCAGAACCCTTCACTCAAACCAGAGTAAGATAACATGGAATTAACCATTTCTTCAAGAGTTCTGTTTTTCCTTTCAGCTACACCATTTGATTGTAGTGCATAACCCGCTGTTGTCTCATGAATTATACCCAAAGATTGGAAATATGTCGGATCATAGTATTCCCCTCCCTTATCAGATCTCATTCTCTTAATAGATGAATCTACTTGCAATTCTACTTCTCTTTTATAAACATCAAACTTTGTTAAAGCTTCATCTTTGGAATGCAAAAGATACACTTAACAAAACCTAGAATAATCATCTATAAATGTAACCATGTATCTTTTGTTTCCCAAAGAAGGAGTACTATGAAAATCACACAAGTCACTATGGATTAGTTCTAAAATATTAGAACTTCTCTCAACTCTCTTAAAAGGAGTTCTAGTGATCTTGTTCAACATGCAAGTAGAACACTTATTAGGAGAAATATCACAAGAAGGAATTAATTCTTGTTTGGATATAAAAAACATTTTATTATAATTCACCTGTCCTAATCTAGAATGCCACAAGTCAAACAAATTCAAATCAACATGATTATCATTGACATCAACATTCAAACAAACATCATCCAATACATACTTATCTCTCAAAGAGAGTTTAAAAAAACCATTTTCCAAATAGCAACGACCTATAAATGTTACACCCCTAGTTATTATGCATCTATTAGCTTCAAATACAAGTTCATAGCCTAGACTATTCAGGGTAGGCCTGAATACAAGATTCCTACTAATTTCCGGAGCATACAAAACATTCCTAAGAATTATTGCAGTCAGTCCCCGAACTAAAAACAAGCTCAACTTGTCCTCTTCCAAGAACCTTGATGGTAGAGTTGCTCCCCATGTAGAGGTCTTCTCCATCAACAAACTTTTGAAAGGTTTTGAACCAGTGTTTACTCTTGCATACATGCCTTGAAGCCCCCGAATCAATCCCATGAGTCATCATCCTGCACCATAAAAATGTTAGGATCCGTTGCATTTAAATCCAAACCGGAATTAAATTCAACCTCATGAATTGGATTACCTTTGGTGGGTGGGTCCTTGCTTTCATTAGCACGACCCTCCTTGGCTTTCTCCATTCTTTTCTTAAAAGAAAAACAGTCCTTCTTGCGGTGTCCAACCTTACCGCATTCCCAACAAGCAAACTTGTTATTGTTTGCTTGCCTTTTGGACTTTCCTTTGGAAGAATTATTATTCTTCCTTTTTCCACTAGTAGATGCACTAGCTCTCCCTCATCTACCATATTCACGGTAGATGTGCTAGGATTTCCATCCTTAGCTCCTTCCATGGCACGAATCCCTTCTTCAATTTGAAGATGGGTGGCCAAACCGGACAATGTCATGTCCTCTTTCTTATGTTTCAAGTCATGCTTCACATTTTTCCAACTCGGGTAATTTATCAATAATGCTAGAAACAACAAACAACTCATTTATAGATATACCATGTTGTTCCAAGCTACTATAGATACGTTGCAATTCATGAAATTGGTCCATTATGGACCGACCATCAACAAACTTATAATTATTAAAATTGTTAACTAAGAATTTCTTACTTGATGCGTCTTCCGCCATGTACTTGTCTTCTAAGGACTCCCAAAGCTCCTTAGCCAACTCCACATTTTGGTACACATCAAAGAGATCATCCTCCATCCCATTCAAAATATGACCACGACAAATGAAATCGTCATTGTCCCATTTCGATCTTTCCCGAACACTTTCCAAGGATTCATTCTCACACTAGTAGAAAAATTGAAAAAGGCACCCCCCTTTTGCCACCGGTTCTTGAAACCGGTGGAAAAAAGTTTTGTTTTAAAAAAAAAATGAGGGAATATGGATTTTCCACCGGTTCAACCCGAACCGCTGGCAAACGTGTATTTCCAAGCGGTTTGAACCGGTGCCCAAATTAAAAAAAAAAAAACCACCCTTCAGTTATTTCGTGAAAAATTCTTCTTCTTCCTTTTCGTCATTCCCCTGCTTTCCCCTTCAATTAACCTTCCTTCAATTCTCTCGTTCATGAATACCCTAACCATTTCTCTCCTTCATGCATAGGTCCGAATTTTCTCACCTCCATTGAAGCGCATTGTGGGCTTTCTCACCTCCATTGCCGTGCAGCGCAACTCCTCTCTTTCTCTCCCATTCATTCTGACCTCCATTGAAGCGCATTCTGACCTCCATTGAAACGCATTGTGGGCTTTCTCACCTCCATTGCCGCGCAGCGCAACTCCTCTCTTTCTCTCCATATACAGCTCTCCTCCATTGAAGCGCATTCTGACCTCCATTGAAGCGCATTCCGAGCTTTCCAACTCCATTGTAGCAGCTTTGAGGTAGGTAAATTTCGTGGTCTTCCTAATTTTATCTATTGAATAGCTTCGCAATCTAGGGTTAGTCGTTGGTTCAGGGGTTTTTTTTTTTGTATTACTGGTATATAACAGTTCTAGCTGTTTTATATAACTACGTTGTAATAGAGTTCACTATTTCTTGTAGTAGCTATGAAACAAGTGTTGTTAGTTCATATGGGTAATCCGAAGTTGTTATACTATTGCTTTGAGTTCTCAATTTTAGGTGTTTTGAATCCCTGAAATTGTTTAATGCATGGTATCTAAGTACATATTATGTGCTTATGTTCATAATTCTTCTTATTTTTGTTCATTTGTTGTATATATAATTTAATCTTTAGATAATTATTTCCTTGGAGCTGATTTATGCCTATAATTAGGTGTTATTGATTGCAGGGTAAAAAATATTTTGAAGTTGAATTTGTTTCTCTAAATGTCCTCAACTTAGTGATGACATACCTTACCTAACTTCAAGGAACTTGTGTTGGTCTTTGTATTTCAATATGTAATTATTAAAAGTTGTCCTATTTGATAATGCTAGAATTTAGGTCCATTTTTTCGTTTTGATATATGGCTAGCTAGTTTAATTCTACGATCTAATTTGTCTTTCCTGCTTCTTGTTCCATTTGCTAACAAAGTCATGTAGCCTACACTTATATCATGAAATTGAAGTTGATTGGTTACTACACTTGGTAGGGGAGGGGGAAACAGCCCACGCCGCAAGCTGCCCGCGACTAGGTAAGTGTTGTCGCAGCCTGCCTGCGGCCTGCTGCTGCTCACTTGGGCATGGAGCAAACTACCCCGCAACCACCCTACCTTCTGCTTTCCTTCAGAGGGCCGCAACCCCCCCCAGTAATTCTCTTCCCCTCATCTCCTCTAAGAAGAGGAAAACAACCCCTGAATCAATATCAACTTCTGCAAGCATCAAACTGAAACCATCATTACTTCCAACCCACAAAAAACCAACACCTAATAGAAATAAGTACCATTTCCGCCGTGACTTTTTCTTACAGTGGGTTAAAAGCAAAAGGCTTGTTGATAGGCCACTTTACTAAAGGATCAAATCCCCTCCTAGAGTATAATAATTATCGACGGTACCAAGCCAAGGCCTATCATCTCAAACAGCCGAAACCTCCTTTCAAAAGGTTCTTTTCTAGAGTTTCTTTACAGAGAATTGGGTCACCCTTTGTTTCCTTCTTTCAGATTTAAATATTGAACAAGGATTTCACGATCTAGTTTCTACTACTTCGACCTGTGTGGGCCTGTTTTTTGTTGTGGTCTGGGTTTGCATGGCTGTGTGGGCCTGGTTTGAATTTTGATTTACAATTGATATACAAGTATATGTATTATTAGCTACTAAATTCATGGACTCACTTCTTATTAAAATTAGATGGACTTAGTTAAATGTAGTTCGATTGTTTACAATTGTTCAGAGTGATACCTCTGTTTGTGAAAAAAGTATCCATGATTAATGGAACATTATATGATTGGTGTATTACACTCCTTGTTTAGTTTCCTAAACTAGGATGTTTTTAGAATTGTTTCTGACTATACTAATAGATTACCATTTCATTAATGTCTGCAATTATCAAGCTTAAAGATTCGGGCACGAAGACCCCATTCATTGCTGAAGCTTGTATCTTGCGGAAAGTGTCTCTCTTTCAGGTCGCCAAGGTAAATGACTGTAACGGCTATTGAGGCTTCCCTGTGCATCTGTTAGTTTGATTAATGATGCGTTATTATTTAGCAATGTATGTAAGTATTAATTACTTACTAACTTTTGTTTTTTCTTTTTAATTTTTTTATAGATTCATATGTTAATTGAAGCACAAGTTTAGCTTGAAGACTACAAATTTAGCTCAATTGTGGTATGAATTATAAACTTAGTCTATGTTTCTTTTTCTTGATTCATGATGAAAGTTCTCTCATGCTATTACAACTTGTGTATTGTTTAATGAAAAATTACTACAACAATATATAAATGCTTGCATCATCATATGCCTAGATACCCGTTCAAGGCTTTCTCATTAGGAGAAAGTCTTGAATAGTCCCCGGTTGGGACTGTTCTTGAACGTTTACTCTCACTTAGGTGGTGAATGTATGTCTTCTTTTTTCGATTTTAAGGAACATCTTGGCTTAGCATTTCCTCGATCACCATGTTCTCTGGGTACATATGTGGGTAAGTTATTACCTACATCGTGTACTTGGAGAACTGGGGGGAAATGCTGCCGGATTTTCCTTAAAATTGGAAAGTCGACATACATTCACTAGTGAGAGTAAACGTTCAAGGATGGGTTAGGTTGGAGTGATAAGGACCCTTTGGAAGCATATATGCATTATTGTATCTATATGAATGTTATATGCATGGTGTGTGTTTGAATTTGATTTACATATATAATAGATGTAGCAATTCTACATTATTCGTAATATGTTGCCATGTTTAGAGGCAATTTACTTAATGGAGAAGGATCATGGCTGGATGTATGGTAGACGTGATACATTGGAATTCTTTGATGGGGTTCAAGAGTTTTGTGAGAGGGCTTCATCTTATTAGCGCAGAATGGGTTTCGATTGCCTCTATTGTCCTTGTGTTGATTGTAATAATGTGAAGGTGGTTAATAGTGTTGATATCATTAGAGATCATGTAATTTGTCGTGGGTTTAGGCTTCAATACCATGTGTGGATTTGGCACGGTGAAGAAGGAGAGTACAGTGGGGATGTTATTGGGAATGATGTGCATGATGATAGAAGCAATGATATTCGTGTGGATGAGGAATACAAGAATGATGAATTTATTGCTGATAATGGTGATGAGGATGGATTTGATGATGATCAGGTGGATGAGGTGGAGGATGAAGGGGTGAATGAAATGATGCGTGGTGTTGAAGGTGACGTGTTTGAGTCGTTATCGAAGGCCTCTAAAAAGCCTTTGTATCCTGGTTGCAAAAAATACTCCAAACTATCAGCTGTGCTAACACTGTTTAACATTAAGTCGAAGCATGGGTGGACGGACAACAGTTTTACGTCTTTGTTGACCGTGTTAAGTGAGATGTTGCCTGACGGGAATGAAATTCCTAAGTCATACTATTATGCAAAGAAGCTCATGTGTCCATTTGGTTTGGAGTATAAGAAGATACATGCATGTCCTAATGATTGTATTCTTTATCGAAATGAATATGAACAATTGGAGGAGTGCCCACGATGCAAGAAGTCGCGCTACAAGCGCATGAGTTGCAATGCTGGTATGAATGGACCTCCTGCGAAGGTGTTGTGGTATCTTCCCATCATTCCAAGGTTTAAGCGTCTTTTTTCAACACCAAAAGACGCAAAAAACTTGAGGTGGCATGCAGAGGGAAAAAAGAAAAACAGAATGCTGAAGCATCCAGCCGACTCCCCGCAATGGAAGAACATTGATATGAAGTTTGGTGAATTTGGTGATGAAGTCAGAAATTTAAGGCTTGGGTTGTGCACGGACAGGATGAATCCATTTGGCACTCTTAGTACCCAGCACAGCACATGGCCGGTACTTTTAGTGATCTACAATTTGCCTCCTTGGTTGTGCATGAAACGTCAGTATGTAATGCTTTCACTACTAATAACTGGGCCAAGGCAACTTGGAAACGACATAGATGTTTATCTTGCGCCACTTGTTAACGATTTGAGAAAGATGTGGGACGAAGGGGTTTCCGTGTTTGATGCTCATAAGAATGAGATGTTCACCTTGCGTGCAGCTCTTATGTGGACCGTTAATGATTTTCCTGCATATGGAAACTTGTCTGGGTACAAGAAAAAAGGAAAAAAAAGTATGCCCCATTTGTATTGATGACACTCCAAGCATACACCTTGACAATTGTCACAAAGAGGTGTATCTGCGGACTCGAAGGTTGCTAAGGCGCGATCACCCGTACCGTAGGCAGAAAAAGGCTTTCGATGGGAAAGCGAAAGAGGGGACTGCGCCTAAGCCATTGACTGGTGAGGAGGTTTATGGTCGAGTTAAGGGTATACGAACAGTGTTTGGGAAAACAGAAAAAGCTGCGGACTCAACTGCTCTCTTTAAAAAAGAATCAATCTTTTGGAAGCTTCCATACTGGAAAGAACATGATGTTAGGCACTGTCTTGATGTAATGCATATAGAGAAGAATGTGTGTGATGCTCTTGTGGGAACGCTAATGAATATTCAAAGCAAAACAAAGGATGGAAAGGGTGCACGGTTAGATTTGGAAAAGATGGGGGTTCGTCCAGAATTGTGGGCTCAGGAAAAGGTTAGAAAGGGAAAGGAACAGGAAAAAAGAGATGAAACGAGTTCGAAACAAGGAAAGGGGAAGAGCAAGGGAAAAGGAAAGTTCACAGATGCGTTGAAGAAGAATTATGATGGAAAAGCAAAGGAAGCCAAGGCTTATTTACCTCCGGCTTGCTACACATTGTCAAGGGTAGAAAAACGGATGTTTTGTGCATGTCTGTACGGCATTAAGGTTCCATCAGGGTATGGATCTAACATGAAAAGATTTGTATCCTTAAATGGAGAATTGAAGCTGACAAGTATGAAATCCCATGATTGTCATGTTCTTATGCAAGTATTCCTACCAATTGCAATACGTGGTATTTTACCGAAGCACGTGAGGGAAGCTATTACAAGCCTCTGTTCTTTTTTCAATACAATATGCAGCAAAGTGCTTGATCCTTGTGCACTTGATGCTTTGCAGGCGGATGTGGTTGTGACTTTGTGCAAATTTGAGATGTACTTCCCACCATCATTCTTTAACATAATGGTGCATCTTATTCTTCATTTGGTGCGTGAAATTCAGTTGTGCGGTCCAGTGTTCATGAGGTGGTGCTATCCTTTTGAAAGACACATGGGTACATTGCAAAACAAGGTAAGGAATCGGGCTCACCCGGAAGGAAGTATGATTCAAGGGATCGTGGGTGAGGAGATTGGTAATTTTGTGGCCGACTATATAGCTATTGCTGAACCTATTGGTCTTCCTACTTCTCGACATGAAGGGAGACTTGATGGTCACGGCACAATCGGGTCGAAACGAATGTCACCTGACCGAGATAATTTTTTACAAGCACACCTATATGTGTTGCACCATGTTGCAGATGTTCACCCATACTTAAATGAGCACATGGCTAGTTTGCGTGATGAATTTCCATCGAAAGGTGAAAGGGCATTGATGCAGATGCATAATAAGAGGTTTGTGAGTTGGTTTCGTGATCAAGTGATGGGTAGAATGGATGAGAGTGTCACTGATACAATAAGGTGGCTTGCTTATGGTCCTAAAAATGATGTTCGCTCATTTGAGGGATATGACATAAATGGGTACACTTTTTGGACTGAGCGTCAGGATTTGAAATCTTCCTCGACCCAAAACAGTGTTGTAACTCTTGTGGCATTGTCAAGGGAGTTTGCAAGTGCTAAGGATAAATCACCTGTTGATGCAGAGTTATCATACTATGATCGAATTTAAGAAATATGGGAGCTTGATTATTGTAGCTTCACAATTGCTCTTTTTCGGTGTAAATGGGTTGATAATATCAGGCGTAACGTCAAATATGATGACTTTACTCTTGTAGATATTAGCCACCTAAATGACAGTGCGGAACCATTCATCCTTGCATCTCAAGCTAAGCAAGTGTTTTACGTAACTGACCCGGCAGATATGAAATGGTATATTGTGCTAGCCGGCAAAAGAAGAATTCTAGGCATTGGAGATGTCGAGGATGAGGAAGAATATGATGCGTTTGATGACTCGGCACCTTTCACTGTTCCTAGACCTGTTGTACCAAATGACGTAGACGACCAAACCAATTATGTGCGATTAGACCACAACGGAGGAATATTAGAATGAAGTACTATTTTTCAGCAACTTTGCAATTTTAGGTGTTGAAAATATTATAAAATGACAGGTTAGCCGAAAATGAATTAATTAATTGTCATAAGTATTATAATTAGGCAATTTATATTTGATTTTATAACTGTACCTTACAAATGTATTTATAATACAACTACTAACGTGTTATGATTGTTATGGCAGGTGATTACATCTCATGGCGGACGATCAGGACCGTGTTTGTGTCGAGGATGTAGAGGATGATGATGATGACTTCTCTAGGGATGGTGATGAGCTGTATGATGTGAACAAGGAGCCTGATTTGGGTGAGGCAGAAGATCAGGCTCAGGATGAGTTGGAGCGTAGGCTGGATGCATTTGAAATGGAGGCTGAACAAGCGCCTCCTATTGAAAATGCAGTTTCTGAGACGGTTGGTGAGAACGCTACTTCCCACAATCAAAGCCAAGGACAAAGTGGAGGAGGGGTGAGGGCACCGGCTAAGAAAAAGGTGAGGGGTCCTACAACAAGTTTCAAGAAACCCGTCGGTCCCATGGTCCTGGAGTACGACAAGGCGGGCCAACGTGTAGGAAAATTCTGTCGTCCATATGCTATTCACGTTGGCATTTGTGCGCGTAAAATCCCGATTACACTTCGTATGCGGGAAGTACCTCCACACTTGATTGACACATTTTGGAATGATACAAGGGCAAGTGTTTTATTTGCATATGCATACAATTATAAATACCTGTACTTTAATGTTATGTAAAAGGGGAAACTAATAATAGACTTTATTTGTGTTGCAGAGTCTGTTTAATATTTCTAATGATGCCGCCAAGCGAAGGGTGTTTGAATCTTTGCTAGCGGAAAGATTCAGAGGCTTTAAGAGCGAATTAGTTCGTTGTTGGATTACAAATAGGAAGAAAAAACCAAAGAAGAAGAAAGGCAATGATGATGAAGTCATCAATGAAGAGCTACTCCCATGGCAAAAATGGCCAAACATATCGAAGGATGATTGGGAAGCTTTTGTTATTCAACAAAGTACAAAGGAAGCAATTGTAAGTTTAAGTAAATTTGGTTACAATTGTATAATATATTATCTCTTTTTGAAGTAATAATACTAACAAATCTAATTACGTAGGAACTGAGGGAGCAAAATTCCAAAAATGCAAAGATGAAGCAATACACCCAACGTATGGGGTGTAAGACATTTGGTGAATGGAGGGAAACGTGGGTCAACGAAGGAGTATATCCCACTTCGCTACTAGGGTCGTCCAAAGGACCCTCTTCTTCCACGATCACTACGCTGGTGAGTCGTGCTGGTGATTTCTTCTGTTCACTGCATGCGCGTGACAAGGAGACCGGAAAATGGGCCATCAAGGCTCCGGAAACCAAAGAAATGGCTGATAAGCTCGTAAGTAACTACGAACTTGAGAACTCTATGAATATTTTGCATAAATATCACTTATGGATGCTATTGGTTTCTGTTTTTTTTTTTTTTTGCTACAGATTGAACACACTGAAGAACTGGTTGAAGGCAAGCTCGTCCCAAGTGTAGAAAAAGACCCTTTCACCTTGGCTTTGGGAAAGCCCTACCATCCAGGACGGGTAGTAGGTGCAGGAGGGTCATTGCTAGGGTGGGAAAAGGTGATGGGTCCAGAGTATACCAAATCAGGAAGATCCTGAGCAAGTGTGAACTCACCTCATGACTTGGTTTCCACGGTGGCATCGATTAAGGAACAAGTCCGCAACGAGCTCGTAAGTGAATTTAACGCTTGGGTGAAGCAAATGAACCTACCGAGATTTCCTTTCCCCTCGAATACACCCGTCGACTCATGTAGTCACCCAAAAGGACAAGGGGAAGATGATATACATGGAGACGATGATGCAAATGAGGTAGTTTTAAAACTTTTAGTTTTGGCATATTGAGTTATGTAGGATCTAAGGTGGCAGTCATTACTTTCTTGTTGCAGGGTGGTACGCCTACACATGCGGACTCGAGGGAGCTCGATAATCCAGCACCTCATCATTTTCCAGATTTACAGGTGATTTTGTTTAGTTCTATCTTAGTGAATATGGGCACATTATCAATCTTAGTGAATATGGGCACATTATCAATTGTGTAGGAAACGACCCCTTGTGATATGTTTGGTTCTAATAACTGATCTTTCAAATTGGTGTAGGAAGAGACCCATTGTGCACTTCTACACCCGGACGAATCTGGAGCTTTGCATGTGGTTGCATATGGTAGTGCACAACCGGCCGAACAAGGTACGGTCCATTTGCGACCGTTTAGGCCACAACATTACTCGGTTGGGATCAATTTTGTTATTACCGGGTTTGAGGACATCCTAATACCGGTGGCCATAGAGGAGGAGGAGTTCACTACACTTTGGGCGGCAAAATGTAGCTTTGTGCAGTGGCCATGTGCTTGGGTAAGGTTGATGAACCAGGTAATTAAGATTTTGGGTTCGTTCGGTACTTTATGCCCGGTTGTTTTCACAAGAGTTAGATGGATTTGTCTTTTCTAACCAATTGCGTGATTTGTTGTATTAGATTTCGCAAAAAAGACAAACTTCAAAGAGGAAGGTGGAACAACCAATAAGCGTTGATCAACCGGTGCCAAAGAAGAGGAGTGAACAAAGGTCGGAGAGTGAAAAAGGGTCGAAGAAGAACTCTTCGAGAGGTTCAGCTTTGCAAGCTACTCCACTTGTTGCTGACACGGTCCTTCAAACGCTGTCTAAAGGTTTAACATTTCTACACAACCGTGTTAGTATGTTGCCTAGTGACACTCCCATTCAAGTTCCACTACCTAAGGCAATGTTCCACTTTGATGAGGATGCAGTTGCATGGCTTAGCAAAGAAGATGTGAAAGAATTTCTAAGTGGTTCAATGCTTAACATCTCCCTCGTTCAAACATTCATGAGGTAATTTAATGCCAGACACTATTATGTTATTCAGATTAGTGATGATTGCTTGTCATTTAATTTCCCATTAATATTTTGTTACCATGCATGCAGAGCACTACAGGAGCACTTACTTGAGATTGATTCTCCGTGTCAAGTAGGGTGGTTATGCCCCGAGCAAATCTCCACTACTAGAATCTTAGGCAACTACCCTGACGTGTTGTACTATGTTGAACGGGGTATCAAGGAATCATTGCGTGCGGGTGACAAGTTCATATTCGCCCCATGTTTTGAGGAGTACGTTTGACCATATCAAATTCATTTGTTTCCCCTAATTATATGTTGTACACAGCTAATTATTGACTTGTTTGTGTATTGTCCATTTCTGTAGTGCACATTGGACCCTGCTGGTGATTTGTGTTCCCAGTAACACCATCTTCCTTTTTGATTCAGCTCGATTGCCTCATCCGAAAAAGCTCCTCGTGAAGTCTATACTGCGAAAGTAAATATGGCTATCTAGTGTTGATTATCCTTACTTAACTCATTTATTATATTAGTCATACTAATCAAGTTTGAACTTACTTTTCTATAGTGCTATGAAGAAGATAAATTGCCGAGCTCCTCAAGGTCCTACATGGAAATCACCGATGGTAATGCTACATGATAATGTGATTTTTATAATAAACAATGCGTAAGATATTGCTAATTTGTTATGCATGTTTGATTCATTTACTGTGTTCCTATGATAGTGCGCACAATAAGATAACGGAGTTGATTGCGGACTATACGTGATGAGATTCATGTTGGACATAATAAGTCATTGTACAGACTTACAACAGCTTGTTGAGGTATGCCATTGACTTAGTTAATTTGCTTTTGTGGTGTGTTTTGATAAGAGAAAACCCTTGAACTGCGTCTTAAAACCCTTGAATTGTTCTTTAAATGTGATTTCAAGCCTTAGCCGCCTGTAACTAGGTAATAATGACATGTTATGAGGAAGAATGAGCTAATTTGATTAAAAATATAGAAAATAGGCATACAAGTAGTGATATAGGCCTTATTTCGGCCATTTTGAATGAAATTGCGTCTTAAAACCCTTGAATTGTTCTTTAAATGTGTTCAAGCCTTTGTCGCCTCTAACTAGGTAATAATGAAATGTTATGAGGAAAAATGAGCTAATTTGATTAAAATATAGAAAATAGGCATACAAGTAGTGATATAGGCCTTATTTCGGTCATTTTGAATGAAATTGCGACTTAAAACCCTTGAAATGCTCTTTTAATGTGATTTTAAGCCTTAGCCGCCTCTAAATAGGTAATAATGACATGTTAAGAGGAAGAATGGTCTAATTTGATTGAAAATATAGAAAATAGGCATACAAGTAGTGATATAGGCCTTATTTCGGCCATTTTGAATGAAATCGCGTCTTAAAACCCTTGAAATGCTCTTTTAATGTGATTTCAAGCCTTAGCCGCCTCTAACTAGGTAATAATGACATTTTAAGAGGAAGAATGAGCTAATTTGATTAAAAATATAGAAAATAGGCATACAAATAGTGATATAGGCCTTATTTCGGCCATTTTCAATGAAATTGCGTCTTAAAACACTTGAAATGCTCTTTTAATGTGATTTCAAGCCTTGGCCACCTCTAACTAGGTAATAATGACATTATAAGAGGAAGAATGACCTATTTTGATTAAAAAATATAGAAAATAGGCATACAAGTAGTGATATAGGCCTTATTTCGGCCATTTTGAATGAAATTGCGTCTTAAAACACTTGAAATGCACTTTTAATGTGATTTCAAGCCTTAGCCACCTCTACTAGGTAATAATGATATGTTAAGAGGAAGAATAAGCTAATTTGATTAAAAATATATAAAATAGGCATACAAGTAGTGATATAGGCTTTATTTCGGCCATTTTGAATGAAATTGCGTCTTAAAAACCCTCGAAATGCTCTTTTAATGTGATTTCAAGCCTTAGCCATCTCTAACTAGGTAATAATGAAATGTTAAGAGGAAGAATGAGCTAATTTGATTAAAAATATATAAAATAGGCATACAAGTAGTGATATAGGCCTTATTTCGGCCATTTTGAATGAAATTGCGTCTTATAACATTTGAAATGCTCTTTTAATGTGATTTCAAGCCTTAGCCGCCTCTAACTAGGTAATAATGACATGTTAAGAGGAAAAATTAGCTAATTTGATTGAAAATATAGAAAATAGGCATACAAGTGGTGATATAGGCCTTATTTCGGCCATTTTGAATGAAATTGCGTCTTAAAACACTTGAAATACTCTTTTAATGTGATTTCAAGATTCAACCGCCTCTAACTAAGTAATAATACATGTTAAGAGGAAGAATGAGCTAATTTGATTAAAAATATAGAAAATAGGCATACAAGTAGTGATATAGGCCTTATTTCGGCCATTTTGAATGAAATTGTGTCTTAAAACACTTGAAATGCTCTTTTAATGTGATTTCAAGCCTTAGCCGCCTCTAACTAGGTAATAATGACATGTTAAGATTAAGAATGAGCTAATTTGATTAAAAATATATAAAATAGGCATACAAGTAGTGATATAGGCCTTATTTCGGCCATTTTGAATGAAATTGCGTCTTAAAACCCTCGAAATGCTCTTTTAATGTGATTTCAAGCCTTATCCATCTCTAACTAGGTAATAATGACATGTTAAGAGGAAGAATGAGCTAATTTGATTAAAAATATAGAAAATAGGCATACAAGTAGTGATATAGGCCTTATTTCGGCCATTTTGAATGAAATTGCGTCTTAAAACCCTCGAAATGCTCTTTTCATGTGCTTTCAAGCCTTAGCCGCCTCTAACTAGGTAATAATGACATGTTAAGAGGAAGAATGAGCTAATTTGATTAAAAAATAGAAAATAGGCATACAAGTAGTGATATAGGCCTTTTTTCGGCCATTTTGAATGAAATTGCGTCTTAAAACACTTGAAATGCTCTTTTAATGTGATTTCAAGCCTTAGCCGCCTCTAACTAGGTAATAATGACATGTTAAGAGGAAGAATGAGCTAATTTGATTAAAAAAATAGAAAATAGGCATACAAGTAGTGATATAGGCCTTATTTCGGTCATTTTGAATGAAATTGCGTCTTAAAACACTTGAAATGCTCTTTTAATGTGATTTCAAGCCTTAGCCGCCTCTAACTAGGTAATAATGACATGTTAAGAGGAAGAATGAGCTAATTTGATTAAAAATATAGAAAATAGGCATACAAATAGTGATATAGGCCTTATTTCGGCCAATTTGAATGAAATTGCATTTTAAAACACTTGAAATTCTCTTTTAATGTGATTTAAAGCCTTGGCCACCTCTAACTAGGTAATAATGACATGTTAAGAGGAAGAATGAGCTAATTTGATTAAAAATATAGAAAATAGGCATACAAGTAGTGATATAGGCCTTATTTCGACCATTTTGAATGAAATTGCGTCTTAAAACACTTGAAATGCTCTTTTAATGTGATTTCAAGACTTAGCCGCCTCTAAATTGGTAATAATGACATGTTAAGAGGAAGAATGAGCTAATTTGATTGAAAATATAGTAAATAGGCATACAAGTGGTGATATAGGCCTTATTTCGGCCATTTTAAATGAAAATGCGTCTTAAAACACTTGAAATACTCTTTTAATGTGAATTCAATATTTAACCGCCTCTAACTAGGTAATAATACATGTTAAGAGGAAGAATGAGCTAATTTGATTAAAAATATATAAAATAGGCATACAAGTAGTGATATAGGCCTTATTTCGGCCATTTTGAATGAAATTGCGTCTTAAAACCCTCGAAATGCTCTTTTAATGTGATTTCAAGCCTTAGC